TCGTTTGCTTCACACGCACTCGCAGTCGTTTGCTTCACACGCACTCGCAGTCGGTTGCTTCACACGCACTCGCAGTCGGTTGCTTCACACGCACTCGCAGTCGGTTGCTTCACACGCACTCGCAGTCAGTTGCTTCACACGCACTCGCAGTCGGTTGCTTCACACGCACTCGCAGTCGGTTGCTTCACACGCACTCGCAGTAGGTTGCTTCACACGCACTCGCTGTCGGTTGCTTCATACACACAGTCAGTTGCTACATACACACACACAGTTGGTTGCTACATACACACACACACGCAGTCTGTTGCTACATACACACACGCAGTCTGTTGCTACATACACACACGCAGTCGGTTGCTACATACACACACGCAGTCGGTTGCTGCATACACACACGCAGTCGGTTGGTACATACACACACGCAGTCGGTTGCTACATACACACACGCAGTCGGTTGCTACATGTACATACACACACACAGTCGGTTGCTACATATGCATTTGCATTCGGTTGCTACATATGCATTTGCATTCGGTTGCTACATATGCATTTGCATTCGGTTGCTACATATGCATTTGCATTCGGTTGCTACATACGCTCTTGCAGTCAGGTGCTTCATACGTACTCACTCCCAGTCAGTTTTGTATTTATGGTGTGTATGCCTGTTGCTTCACATATACATATATCTACATAGTTGCCTCATATGTGTGTTTGTATGTTTTACTGTGCTGGTCATAGAGTAAAGTCAACACAATCTAAACTTCAAATACACAATCTACATATTCATTTTTATCTTAAAATTGTCATCTATTTTAAATTGTGCAATATTATTATAACTGGGATATTATAATAGCTGTAGTTATTAGCTTTATGTATGCTGATTATTTTACAATATTGAGCGGAGAGAAAGAGGGGGTAATATTATCAGTACTGTAAAAGGATTAATTATTCACTGGGTTTTAATTTTGCTTTAATATTTCGCTGACTGGAAAATACGCTAAATTAAAACCCAGTGAATATGTAAAATTGAGCATAGAACACATTATCTAATGATAAAACCGTGAATTTAAAACCCATTGAATATGCCTGAAATAGTAAATCAGTGAAATTTAAACCCAGTGAAAATTAGTCATTTTACAGTATATCTTTTCAAACAGAAAGACACTTTTTCATCTCAAAAAAATGTTTTGATCACTTCATTCATATTTAGAATTATACTTATTTTGTTGAAAACACAACCCATTTTGTAATTGTATTATTTTATATTTGACATTTTCGCCATGACAAATATCTACATTTCAAATATTTATTTTCGTCTTTTGCATCTACTTTAGATTTGAATAAAGGTATATCTAAAAAATGTTGATCTAATATTGGCACAACCTAATTATTCACTGAAGCGCATATACTTGCCACAATTGAAAATATTAATGACCATATAAATACAACCAAATGTATGTTAAATTATTTTGATAATCCTCTTGCATACCAGCACCATTCTTGATATATTCGAAATCAACCAGGAAAAGTAATAATGTCATTTTGGGAGGGATGGGGATTTTACCGGATGTGGTTCTGTGAAAAATGTTTGCAGCTTGCTCATTTTGTATTCACAGCAATAATAAATAAAATATTGTTTCACACAACTTACATTTTACAGGTAACATTGACTTTTATTTTGATGTTGTAATTACCATTGTTCTGTTTTTGATCATCAGGCGTGTTAGATTTTTTTAATAATTTCATATATAACAAAAGAAAAATCCAATTTTCATGTAAAATCAAAATAATACACAATTCATATGACATTTTAAAATACATTTTGGGAAACAAAGTCACCAGAAGTTTGTTCTTATTTACACAGGCCGAAACTAGGAAAATAGATAGACTTCTGCATTTGTTTGCATGTATATCTTGAACATGCCTGGACCAATCACATACATGTCTTATGCAAGTGCATTGGTTTTGTGATTTGATTCAAGATGGCTTAATGGCGTCTTTTTAAGTGCTAAAATTACATCCAAATTATCCTCATTTCAATCATTCCAGAACAGGATCTCTGCTATGTACCATTGCCAGATTTTGCAGGTTTTAGAGATCTCAGAAACTTTGTAAAACTTGTATTATCCTGTTGATAATATTGTGGGTTTATTGTACAGAGAATCCTGTTGGTCACACTAAGTGTTTATTGTACAGAGAATCCTGTTGGTCACACTAAGTGTTTAGTGTACAGAGAATCCTGTTGGTCACACTAAGTGTTTATTGTACAGAGAATCCTGTTGGTCACACTAAGTGTTTATTGTACAGAGAATCCTGTTGGTCACACTAAGTGTTTATTGTACAGAGAATCCTGTTGGTCACACTAAGTGTTTATTGTACAGAGAATCCTGTTGGTCACACTAAGTGTTTATTGTACAGAGAATCCTGTTGGTCACACTAAGTGTTTATTGTACAGAGAATCCTGTTGGTCACACTAAGTGTTTATTGTACAGAGAATCCTGTTGGTCACACTAAGTGTTTATTGTACAGAGAATCCTGTTGGTCACACTAAGTGTTTATTGTACAGAGAATCCTGTTGGTCACACTAAGTGTTTATTGTACAGAGAATCCTGTTGGTCACACTAAGTGTTTATTGTACAGAGAATCCTGTTGGTCACACTAAGTGTTTATTGTACAGAGAATCCTGTTGGTCACACTAAGTGTTTATTGTACAGAGAATCCTGTTGGTCACACTAAGTGTTTATTGTACAGAGAATCCTGTTGGTCACACTAAGTGTTTATTGTACAGAGAATCCTGTTGGTCACACTAAGTGTTTATTGTACAGAGAATCCTGTTGGTCACACTAAGTGTTTATTGTACAGAGAATCCTGTTGGTCACACTAAGTGTTTATTGTACAGAGAATCCTGTTGGTCACACTAAGTGTTTATTGTACAGAGAATCCTGTTGGTCACACTAAGTGTTTATTGTACAGAGAATCCTGTTGGTCACACTA